ATTCATATTTTTGTAAAATATGTTGAATACGGCCACGCGACGACGGCTGTTTCCAACGCGTCGGAAAATCGTTGCTCTTGACAGGTGTCTCGTTTTAAAGCTACGCTTTAATCACGAAACTCGTTAGCCACGACGAAAAGCCTTAATTGCGTCTCTCACCTTCCCTTTCCCTTAACCTTTTTTTTATTCCTCCTCCTCCTCCTCCTCTTCCTCCTCCTCCTCTTCCACCTTGCATCCAAACCACAAGTATCCACTTTTTGTTCATTTTTTTGTTCTCTCTTATGTATCTTAATAATTTTTTAAAAGAGAACTCTATCGATTAAATTAAATTAATAATAAGATCATGTTACAATAATATCATTTTTATTTTATGATATGAATTATCAATTAAACAAATTATAGATTCGTATAATATCATTAATTCAAAAATATCTGTGCACAGGTAAAAGAAAGTTTTTAATATTTTTCAATTCGGTAGAGTGATTTATTTTTTAGAAAAAAAAAAAAATCCTTTATTTGAAATATTACAAATTATTTTTATATTATTTATAGTTCTTAATGATAAGGTATCACAGGGAACTTGGACATAAAAAAGAAGTAGAACTTAATTTAACTAAGTTGGAACTTCTTCAGCAACTTAATCTTTACAGTTAAGCGTCTTTTTTCATTGTATAGACATACATTTTTCTTTTTATTAATATTCAAAACACAAAAACATCTAAACTTCGTTAAGTATTCGCTCGTTATAATTTGAAACCCTTAACAAAACTCAAGAAAATCAAAAAAATGTATAGTGATAAAACTATATTCATTTATATTGATTGTATGATTTATACAAAATATTTAGCGAGCAAAAGTGTTTCAAAATAATGATCAAATATATTGAAGATGTATATATATATATATTATTTTTTTCCTTCTCGTTAAAATTGGTTGAATTAAGCGAAACGAATTAATTGCATGTGCCAGCTTTTTTTTTTATTACTGTCAAGAATAAGTGTAAGAAAATTTTCATCGTTCTTAAATTATCGCCATAATTATTCGTGTAATTATTGTTCTCTTAAATTCATTTAATTCTACCTCTACTTATTCTACTACTTCTTCTTCTTCTTCTTATATTTATTATCGTCATCATCTCGTTATTATTTTCCATAATAATCAAATACAAATCTTTTATATTTCATAAGTTTGTGTATTATACCATATAGTAACACAAAAATAACAAAATACAAAATTATATTATTTTAATATTGTCGAGTAAAAATTCAAGATTTAAATGAACATTATTATCTTTGACCTTTTTAATCGTCGATTGATCGAACACAATTTTCGCTATTTGAATTTACATAATAATTTTATTAATTTTCCAATACACAGAGTTATTAAGTTATGTAAGGAAAAAAAGAGAAAAAAAAAAAAAAAAAAAAAAAAAAAAAGAAAAAAAAGAAATTAGAACTAAAGTTAAAAAATCAATCAGAGAAATAAATCCTAAGAGAAAATCTTAACCAGAAGTGTATGTGGTATAAAGGGCAAGTTACTACGTATAGTACATACCTACGCCCTAACTGACATCCAATTTCCATGGCAACGATGAAGTCAAAGGGAAATGCGAATCTCTGAAAATGTGTGTATGTATATATATATATGTGTGTGTGATTGTGTGAGTATACGGAGTTTGATACTTCTCTCTGAAGGGCTTTTACTAAAGAAAATCTAACTAATAAACTATACTATTTCTAATTTAACCTTTGTTCTCTTGGAAAAAGAAGAAAATAAAAAGGAATTATAATAAATGTTCACATTGATCATTAGAAATTTATTTTTCACGCGATTCGGAATAATTTTATTTTTATTTTTAATTGACAATTATGTTTCATTGGTATAACACGTAATTCGTGTAATTATTTTTATTATTTTTAATTCCTTAAAATCCGTTTGCCCAGTTTGTTTTTTTCCTTTTCCCCCTTTTAGTTTTCCCCCATTGAATTTTTATTATCTCGAAGAAAATGGCTTTTGTTCGACAGTGTAATCTTTTTATTTCAATTAACGAATGTCGTATCGTCTTAACGTGATTGTTTTCTTTCCCTGTGAATGATGATCACACACCTTTTCTTTAATGAAATTTTCAAATATCTATTTAGAAAAAGAGAAACGTTAAGAACAATTATAGACACGGGTGATACGTGGAATAATAATAATTATTATTTTTATTTCGTTTATTTTTTTTCGTTATTTCTCGTTATTGTGTTGTTTAACACGACGAACGAACAGAAACACACCAAAGTTAAACTGTGCGTTTGTCAAACGATTATTATTTTTTAAAATGCTTTTTCCTTTCTCTTCGCAATGCAGTTTGACATTTTTTTTGTTTGTTTTCTTTTTTGTTTAATCTGCTTCGAAAAAAATAAATTAATATCCCGCGTTGTGCATGGAAAATATGTTCCATCGAGAGAGAGAGATATTACAATGATATTTAAACTTAATGTTAATTTATTCCGATGAGAATTTGATCAGATTATTGAAATTAATTGAACGATTAATGAAGATTATTTATATTAAAAAACGAATTGATAAATAAATATTGTATAATTGAATTAGAAGATATTATAAAGTATCCCTTTGATTAGTAACGTAATTTCAATATTTTCCAGTGGTTCGAATTTCTGATAATCGTGAAAGACAATGTTGTGGGTCTGTAGATAGCAGTCAGATGTTTGATTAGGTATATATCCATTCGGGTTAGGTAATTATTCGTGGCTACTAAGCGAGGTACAAGCTTAGAAACGTAGAGATATATCTATACGCTGATTAGGAGTCTCTAGCTAGAGGCTGAAGTAACTGTTAGCAAACAAGCTAGCTAGCTAGCTAGCTAGACAAATGCCATAAACTCTTGAAGTCAGATAAAATAGAACTAAATCTGTTATCAAGAGAGGAGTAAAAAACCGATAAGGAAATTCTCAGAGGTAACAACCCATTTTAAATATGATAAATAATAAATGAAAATATTCTTCATATTATGAGAAAAGAAGAAATAAAATATCCACCTTTGTAAGTACCACCATAAACGTGACAACAATTTTTATCGTTCAATTTTTTATTATATATTCATTTGATTTTTTTTTCTTCTTTTCTTTTCTTTCCTTTTCTTTTTTCACATTATTTTAATTACGATTATATAATTTTGTTGTTCAAAAAGAGAATTTAATGTTATATTTAAAAAAAAAAAATTATTTTAATAATTAATATTATTCATTTATATCGAAACATATTTATTAGATAATAATAACATTCTATGTTTGAATTATTTTATTATTTTTTATATATTGAATGTGTCAACTTTCACATGACAATAACTTGCCTAATGCGACTTGAATTAATAATAAACCGGTATGACCATTTATTTATATCGTTGTACACGAGTCGAGCCACGTTTCGATCTGCATTATGCATGAATTCTTGGGTCGTAGGACATTAGCCATGATTAAAGTAGGATATATACATATATATATACTCATACAAATATTTGTATATGTATTGTATGTACATTATACGCCAACAAACTTCATATACTATTTTTTCTTTTTTCTTTTTCCTTTTCTCACTTGTATGTGTTCAAAACCACCACTCCAACAAGCCGTCTTTCACCCTCTCCCCTTCCTCCCCCTCACCCCGCTCTCTCTCTCTCACCTT